ACTTGATTATACTCAAAAAACATGATTTTAAAAAAATTTTTTTTATTGTTCGAATTTTCAAATGAAAACTATTAGAAATCTTAGGGGTTTCGTGAAAATATCGCGTCCTCAATACCTAAACTAAAAGTTAGTGGGGTTTAGATTGAAGAAAATAAAGTTAAAAAATACACTTTTTTCTCAAGTCCTTCGTTTTTGAGTAAAAATTCTATAAGTTTCCATTCAATTTTGCGAGTTTCAACCGCCATTTTTTGTGCTTAAACATTAATTTTTTCAATCGGTACCCCGCTAACTTTCAGTTTAGATATTGAGGACGCGATATTTTCACGAAACCCCTAAGATTTCTAATGGTTTTCATTTGGAAATTCGAAAAATAAAAAAAATTTTTTTTTCAAAATCACGTTTTTTTTTATAAAATCAAGTTTAACTTTTGACCTGATCATTTTTTCAAAAATCTGAGATCAGATTCTGAATGGGTTTTAAATTTTACATTAGAATTAGTTACTCGCATATTTTTTTGACCCCATTTTTACCAAAAATACAGTGGACGAATAAAGGGTTGAAAAAACGTCCTCTTGGGACTTGATGGGTTAAAATAATTAACTAAAAAAGTCGTTTTTTCGTATTATACGAATGTCTGAGCCAACCCCAAAAAATTTGACAACTATGAGTGATATGTATTTCGATGCAAAATTTTATCACCTTTCAGAATCTGGCGGAAAAATTGAGATTGGTGCATTATTTCAGATGTTATGAGCGATTTCGTGCCGAAAAACGTGGTTTTTGTGTGAATCGAGAAAAAAGCATTTGTTTCTTCAAAAAAACGGCAGTCAGCACGATCACCTATTGAAAAAATGTGAATGCATTGTTTGATAGGTTTTTGTATTCAGATTTTAAAACGGCCTTAATTTCCTCGAGATACAGCTGTTTTTGTGGGATACGTTTTTGTAGCTGAAAATTCAGTAATTCGGTTTCGGGTCCTCGAAAAATCACGTTTTTCCTCACACTTTACAACTTTCTGAGAAATCTATAGGAGCTACCAAAACGAAATTTAAACCAAAATTTTGCAAAAATTATACCAAAAAAATTAGAGTAAATTTCTTTTCGTTAGCTCCTATAGATTTCTCAGAACGTTGTAAAGTGTGAGGATAAACGTGATTTTTCGAGGAGCCGAAGCCGAATTACTGAATTTTCAGGTACAAAAAAGCATCCCACAAAAACAGCTGTATCTCGAGGAAATTAAAGCCGTTTTAAAATCTGAATAGGGCGTTGGAAAGGTGAGACAAAACCTATCAAACAATGCATTCACATTTTTTCAATAGGTGATCTTGCTGAGCCGTTTTTTGAAGAAAAAAATGCACTTTTCTCGATTTTTAGTTAATATTATGTAAATCCACACCCGTTTTGTGGCACGGGTTTTTTTCACCATATGAGCTGAAACTTGGTAGAGGTCATTTTTTGGGGGTTTGAAACTTTTGAGGGGGCGTCCCGTCGATTAAAAAAAAAAAAAAAATATTGTCAGTCTAATGTACGTATTATATACAAATTGTATATAATTTACGCATAATAGTTATTTATAATTTGTTTATAATTTTCTGCAAACCTAACCTTTCTTTAAATTTATAAGAAGTTTTCTTCTTTATTTTAAAATATGTCGTTTCTTTCTACCAATAACACGGCTCAAAATAGTTTTTAATAAAAAAATAACTAACACAACCCACGTAAAGATTTTTTTCTATCGGTCAAACTTAAGATAAATTTTAGTTTATAATTTTGTTTCTCCTAAATTTCAGCCGCGAGAATCAAATAGTATATTACGGACCCAGACCGACAAAAAAGTTTGGCGTCTTAGGCCTGTATGCTATTTTTCGTACCCGGCGGCCTGAAAATCGCTCTTTCCACTTTTTTAAAGTTTTGATTGACATGATTTTTAATTTTCTAATCCAGGTAAATTAAAAGGTTATAGCATATTATCCTGGAAAATGACTTGTTGACTTTACTTTACCTCACTATTGTCCCGCTCGATTTTTACCCACTAGATCTCTCTTACCAAAAGTCCCATAAGAAATTTCACAGTTGCAAAAAGAGCTGTCGGGAATCGATTCATTAGGCCTCGCGAGTCGCGGGTAATTTTGCGCCTGCATTGCTTGGGAATTTTTCCAATTAATTTCTCGTTGCGTCGACGACGACGTGCAAACAAGCTGCCGCCGAGTTGCAAAAAAGCTCGCGAGCTCGACTTTTAGCAGATCCCCAACTGTACTGGCCTCTGGCCGCAAACGACGTGCGCGTATTAGAGATATATTTTTGTAGTCTCGTCTCGCAGCAAATAATAATTAACTACGTACAGAACGTGTATAGTCGATTTTGTCGCTTTGGTCCAGTACACGGCTTGCTTGTTTGTCACCACAAAATCGAATTGCCATTTTTCCATTTTCGTTCTCATCTACAAAACTGAAAAGCTCGCGGCTCTCTCGCCTCTCGTCTCTTGCCTCGTGCACTGCACTGGCGGCATTTGGCGCACTTGAGCCCGCAGGCTGGCCTCTGCTATATATAGCTGTGCTTCGTGTTTATGTGTGTGTGTGTGTGTGTGTGTGTGTGTGTGTGTGTGTGTGTGTGTGTGTGTGTGTGTTTATTCGATCGTCCCTTCAACTATATAGTACTTACGCCACGTAACGCGTAAGTCCACCGCAAATGTGGAGTCCTGTGTAGAGCCAAGCCGCAAAATATATCCGCCGCTCTTTCTCTCTTTCTCTCTCTCTGTATCTGTCTCTCTGTCTAGCTGCGGCCTCGTCGCACGAGCTCGTGAACGCGTGCGCGACTATGTAATATCCATACTGTTTGCTCGATGCAATAATTTGTTTTCGGACGAAAAAATCCCAACCTCGCCATAATATGGTTGTGTATATAAATCTTTTCCCTGACGACGAGCGCTGATGAACTTTTTCATGCATATTATACGCCCATGTTTTTTAAATTTTAAATTATTCAACCTAAGGCTCGCTATCGGTATACTTATACGCGAGCCGGCTTTTGGTGCAGAATAAATGTTCAACGACTGTATGCTGTATTTAATTAGTGACAAATAGTTTCAATTTTTCATAATTATTCAAACTTTGCATTTTCAAGATTAATAATTAATTCGTTTTAAAATAGTACATTAAGGTACAAGGGGCGAAAGTTGAAGTTCCGCCATTGCGTGAAGTTAGCCCGAAGCGAAAGAAATTTTAAAAATAATGTAACTTTGATGAATGTCTTCAGAATTTCGCTCGAATCTTTGTTATGCTCTAGAATGAACTAGGAAGATCCAATCGAAATTTTGCGACGATCAAAATTTATTAAAATTTAGCAAGGAATTCGAAAAAAATTTTTGCAAATTTTTTTACCAGAACCTCTGGGTTCCAGGAACCGTTTTTCATAAAGAAAGCGTTTTTCAGCCATAGATGCTATCGCCTTCAATTAAAAAATTTGAAAAAATTCAAGGTAATGTAATTCGATGAAGAAAACGAGAAAAAATTTTTTCCAGATTTTTCAAGGCTTCGCATCGTTCTTAAAAAATTATTTTCGTTAAAAAATGGGGTTTTTCGACTCTAGACGTCAGAGTTCTCTCTGAAAAAATCTGAAAAAATTTGAGGTTGTGTATTTTGATGCCAAAAAATGAGTGTAAAAAAAAGATCGGGCTTTGTATTGCATCGTAGCGCCGTATATGAATTTTCAAAATTTTCAATCATTTTTTCTGAAGGCCTGAAGCACTCAAAAAATCTGAAAAAATTCAAGGTTGTTCAGTTTATTAAAAAGTATTTTTGTGAATTTTTTCAGATTTTTTAATTGCTTCAGGCCTTCAGAAAAAATATAAATAGAAAATATACGTTTATAGGGGTGGAGGGGGGTAGGAGGGGGGAGGGGGTCTAAAATTTTGGTTTTGGGACCTTTTTACCATGTACTATAACATACCAAAAGCGCGTCAAGATCGGTGACATACGAGCGCAGGTTTATTTAAAAAATTCTGAGCCTTACCCATATATATTATATATGTTCATTTACTATTAAATTGATTTTTTAATATTAATTATAATTATGATTCTTCATTGGATTGGATTGAATTAATAAATATAAAATTAACAAACGTACAATTGACAAAAGTACAATCTTTAAAAGTATTAGGAGTATTTGTCGTAGAAATTATAATTGAATTTACCTCCAATGATTGTATTATATTTGAACAAGCATTGACCGGCTATAGCCTAATCAAATCAGCTTCTTCGAATTTTCGACAAATTTCGTTTTTATCGGAGTCTTTGGTCGCTGAAAATGCATTTTCAATAACACGTTTGCTCATTTCGCTACGTATTATAAACAAGATTGATTATCCGAACTAAATCCTCGAATAACAATATACGGTTGCATCACTTTGAACCTTCACCGCTAGGTGGCGAGTATAACTTTATCTATAAATCTGCAAGTGGTAAAGTCAAAATAATTGTATAACTTAGAGCCCCTTTTTTCAGTGACTCTTGCATATTTTGGCAACTGGCTTTTTTTTAAATTTACTCATTCGCTCTAAAGATAATTTCAATGTTTTATCAATTTTTAGGAATGCGTCTCCAGAAATTCGCCGTACTATATCTATGTTGATGTTTTCACGTTCTTCATTATTACCAGAGCAAGATTCCTCAGGATGAATTTTTAGTATTAATTTGGTTGCTTATGGTTACTACAGAAGATCATATTCGTAATTTTAACCCATTAAATCGTGACAATAAATCATTGAACCGAGAGAGCATAATAAGCGCACTCGAGGACTTTGGAGTCGTACGTGATATACTTTTATATGGATTATCTCGTTGTTATTTTTATTTAAATTATAGATAATTAGGATCAATAAAATATATAAAATCAACTAGAAATTGTTATTAAAAATAATTAATTAGATATTTATCTCACATTCTCATTGATTGATTTCACATTTTCCATACTTAATCAATTATCATTAACGTATACGTTCTTGTAGTTTACGAATCATTCTTTCGTCATAAATTTCATAAGATCTACTTGTCACGTTAGAGGGTGACATCTGCCGTAGAGTGATTCGTGAGGTAGCAACCCGTCCCCTTAGATTAACGTGTCTCACATTAACGTGTTGAGATTCGCAAATGTTCATATGAAAATGAAAAATAACAGAATTGAAATTATTTAAACTAATCGTTTTAACTAAGTTTTCAATTCAACTCACATTCATCTCAATAGAGTTTACAACGTGGCTCTCATTAAAAGGCCAAGTCTCCATCGTGCCTCGGTGTCTATTTTCTTCTCGACATCGGGTGAGGTGATCAGGGAAATCATCCCTGTGAATGCGGTGGGCTAAATTATACGGGCACGACAATAGGTTATCCATTCTGAAAAAATTAGAGTACATAATTATACTTTGATGAATAAATTGAGACGATTGAACAATTATAGCGTAAACATATAAGTAAGTCTGTAAAAGCGTAGAAACGACCCGGTTCTTAACAAATAGACAATATTTCTATTATTTTTGGCTCTAGTACACATATTTTATAAAATGTTATGACAGTGATTTGTGAGATACTTACTTTTTTTTTTAAGTAGTAACGGCTAATAAAATGCGCAGCTAACTTGGTTGAATATACTATATTATTAGATGTTATTGCTTAAGCTGTCTACGCGCAAGTAAGGATCCCGAAGTTACAATGTTTATACATTTAATTTTGCTAGAGAAAATTAATGAAGAAGGGACACAGAGAATGGAAATTGTACGTATTTTGATTTTATTTTGGTATTTTGGTTTTAAGGGGAAGTCAGCGTAAATTTTTTTCCTTTCTTCGGAGACTATATATCGAAAAATTCGTTTGTCTTATTGTATACATGCATAACTTTTACTGTACACTCGAGATCTTTGTCGACGCAAACCTATTTATATCAATAATAATGATATATGAATTATAAGTGACGATCAGCAGCACGATAATTAGCCTTGCAAAATATAAAGTTGTCGATCAGCTAAAATATAAAGTAGCTAGAAAAGCGAATAACGATGTATGCTGGATGAATATATGTATAATTGGCTAGTTTGAGAGCTGTCAATCGCGACGTATACGCGTCTAATGAGGAAAAAGCTCGCGTCGGCTGTGTAGTATGTGATTTAGGCGTTCGGTTGCAACGAGTGGCCCCGATCAATTTATCCCCGCAATCGAACGATCGAAAAAGCCCAAAAGCCACAACGAGATCTCTCGTCGAGAGAAAAGAGAGCCCCGTTTTACGACGACGTCTGTGTATAGCTGCGGAGGAGCTCGTGGAACGAGGGGGCGTGTGTAACGCGCGCCGCTGCGAATAGTAAATGCAAAATCATTGGGCGCCGACGAGCAGCTCATCAAGCGGCCAGTTTTATGCGCATTTTAATGCCGGCATTTATGCGTCGTCGACTCTGCCCTCCGCACTTTGTGTGTGATTCGTTTTGCCGCACGCCAGATTGATCCTGCACACAGCTTTTTGATTGCTTTTAAATTTTTGCCATTCTGCATGTACCGCGTGACTCGCGCAAAGTCGTGCTGAGCTGATTCCCTATACGTTTTGACGCGCTTATAATGAGCTCTCGCATTGCCGCGTAATAACCATATCGAATTGTCGAACGATTGTGGACTCGTCGGCGCCTGTGGATAATATCGAGCGAGCGACACATTTTACTTTTTATTCGCAGCTGCCAATATATGATAAACAGCCTTGTATGTGTAGAGAAAGAGAATAGAGCTTAGAATTCTACTTGCAAATTTTATCGAATGAAAACGAAGCTTCCGACAAGTAGTCTCTATCATTTTTTGGGAAACTTCTCTTCATATTCCATACTCAGCCTGGTAACGGGGTCTCTCAGAAACATAATTCACGCGACAAAACCAGAATACATCAATATATACTCGCAAAGTCCAACGCAATAATAAAAGCGACGATAACACAATGCACAGCAATCATTTTAATTGTCGCAATCCCAGACTCTTTAGTCTCTCCCTTACCTAATTATCGTGCTGCTGATCATCACTTATAATTCAAGTAGTATCATTTATTCGGTTAAAGGATAATCAGAGCGGATTACGCACCAAGTACTACTCTCTTATATTATATAGGCGTCGAGAGCTCGCGAGGGCACTTATGACATTAGAAAACGGCCTCGACAATGAGAGCTGCGCGTTCGGCACAAATCTCTGTATAAATACACTCAGTACGCGTGTAAGAAATTGAAATATGCGCGGAAGCTCGAAAACACGGCATTGTGGCCGTGTTTATCTTCTTGGCTTCATTGTGCACAATAATACACTCTCGAGGAAGTTTTTCGCACTCTCGAGCTCTCTCGACGAGAGCCTGTGCGATGACAATAGGCGCGCGACGGCGGCAAGACATGAAAGCCTCCCAAAGCGAGCTAAAGTATTATATATAAATCGTGCCTCTCTTTCGCTCGCATTTACAAGCATATAATGTAATGCACGTACGAGTACACGCCGACTACTGGTTCTTACGGATTAACGCGTGAAAAATAATGACGCTGCACGCGCTGAAACGTACATGTACAGCACAAGCCAAAAGAACTTCTCGCTATACAGCCCCCGAAGAAAGAAGCTTTGCGCTGCGATGGGATTTCGACGGAATAATATTTACTTGTTGTGATGGCGTGCGCGCGACCCACTACCTCTTGTACTATACCTCTCGGCCGAAAGCTAATAACGAGCTATAAGCTTTTTTCATTCAACAGCTATTTCGGTACGTGTATTCGCGCTTCAAAAGAAAATTTTTAACAGAGGCAAGCTCGACGTTTCAATTGGAGATAAATATTTAGCCAATAATCAAATTTTTTATGATACAAAAATCATTTGAACACAGTTTCGCAGCTACACACATCTTTGTCAGAATAATTATTTCAAGCCTTATAATCGAAATTTACTTGATGTAAACAAAAGTAAGTATGCTTGGACAACGTCTGACATTCAAGACGTCAAAGTAAAAAGAAAGCAATTTTGATCCCTGACCGCAATCTAAACCGCTACTTGCGCGGAGTTTACAAGAAAGAGACTATTCATTTCTTTTTTATATGTTTTAAGAAAATTTCCTCGGGGTTTGCTGAAAAAGAATTTTTTATTACGATCGACGATACCTTTGGTGTCCGGTAAATACTTTATAAATTTCAATTAGTGACGACAGCTTGCTTTTAAAAACTTGATCAATCAGTTAGATAATTCATATTTATTACAATTTTTATCATTAATTTCAAACTGGTTTTATGATGTGTACATAGAATTTCAAAATGTCATGCGAATATTGCCACAAGATCTTATTTCAAATGGCACTTTCTTAGTACTTGCTTTAAAAGTAAAATTTTCATCAAATCGAAGGAGAGAGTAGAGTAAATAAATTAAGCTCATCTACGCGAGGCCTGATCGTATCATGTGCAGCTGTAGGCGCGGATAAAGCTTTATCTCTCTTTGATCGGGACGATCACAATGGCTACGATGATAATGACTAGGACGATAACTATCTGCCTGTGTACGGTCCAATAATAAACCGAGAAAATACTTGCACATTAAATCGGTACGTAGGCCAGAGGGAGAGAAAGAGAGCGAGAGAGTAGAGGGGACTCGACGAAAAGAGGGGTGCGATGGTGCGTTCGATTGGTGCACGGCAGTTGCCCATAGAGCCCACCACCGACCATCGTCGGTCGAGGGGTTGATTTTTTGCGGTTTTAAGCTGCTTCTCTCGGCTGCTGCTGCTGCGTGTGCCTGTCATGTAATGCACTCAAGTGGTTTTGCGATTGTGTATAGAGCGAGCAACAACGTTTATCGAGGTCTCATTATTACACGCGCGCACATATGCAGCTCGCGAGATCATTTGATCGTATTAAATGCCACGCAGTAGTACGAGTAAATTATATCGTTCGTTTCTCCTTTGCCATTGTGTACATCATCTGCCACTTTTCGTTCGTATCCCACACATAGAGGCAACCTCTATGCTGCATCGCAGCGACGAAAATAATGCAAGTATCCGGATAAATCTATTTTTCTCGTCGGCTACTGTGTAACTGTGCTCGCGCGAATAGATCGATGCAGAGCTTTTAAGTCTCGAACGCGCGAGTCAAGGAAGAAAGCCGTTTAAGAGCTGAACGCAAATTTGCAAAGAGAGGCTTTCTCGGAAATCGTTACTCCTTTTTTTTTTTTAGAGTTTGGCAGATTTAGACACACGACATCCGTCTTCTGCGGGTTGTACAATGTACATCGGTGGGGTTTCCTCTTAGATTATAATCTACATAGAAAGAGAAAAAGCTGACAAAATGCGTCTAATGGTTAGAAGCGTACCTCGAAGTAATAGGCACTTATTCGTTCAACAATTTCTTACCTACAAATCCTCGAGATTTATAGAGTTTGTGTGTGTGTGTGTGTAAGAGAAGAAGCTGAAAGAAGCAAAATGGCCCGCTGCAATAAAAGAGGCTTATAGGCAAGCAGCTATAAGTAGTGGCAAGCCCGAACTCGGACACTTGTGTATGAGACGCGCAAAGTGCGCCCACATAACATAATGCACAAACGCGTGCGCGATGTCTATTCTGCTCGCCGCGCGGGTACATCGTTCTCTTGTGTATCGTTGCTCCTTTGGCTGCGCGCAGGGATTAGTACATATAGCTACCTATATACATTCTAGGCCACTTCTCTTTCTCTACTCTTGGGTTCCTTTACTTTGACTCGTTTACCTATATAAAGAGTGCGTATAACTGCGGCGCTATATATATTATGTACTCGATCTTCCTGGTAAGATTATTTTTGCGCTTATAGATATACTTATTATGTGTAAGCTCAATGCACTCAATGCGCGTATCTCTCGGCCATCGGGTATACACTTTCTAAAAGCAAATACTACTCGCTGCTGCGTATTACGCGCGCCCTGCTGAGATGCTTCATCCACGACCGCATACCCAACACTGGTTATGCCGTTCTCATGAGCGCTTAAAAACCAGTGGCCAGTTCATTTTTTGTTCATTTCGTACGCTCCCAGTTTATCCACTCGAACTGTTGTATTACTATATGCTCTTCATTATATTATGAGGATGGCTCGCGTGTCAATGCGTTCGAGGTACAGCTCTAATGTCATATTTTTATTGACTACCCGCACACTTTTTTACTCGCATCGAGGCCTTTTGACGCCGAGTCTATCGCACAAATTTTTTATTTCTAAGAAGCGTGAATGAAAATAATATCAGGTCGATCGTCACCCAGACAATAGTGAAAAATCTGGTAAAGCTCGCGTAAACTTTGAGTTTCCCTTCGTCTTCCATCTTCTCCTCTAGACACGACACGAAATCTGGTTTACTACGCGATACATCATCCTCGATCAGACGATCTATTCCCTTATTAATTACTCGACGTTTGCCTAGCCATGTTACGGTGGTGGCTGACGTGACCGTATCTGCAAAGGACGAGAGGCGGAACTACAACGTTCGTAGCGTTGCCGAGTTAATTAAGCTCGTATACATATACAGAAATTGTTGGTGGTACGCATAAGCATCGTCGTCATCATCCGCTATCTCGTCCAACCTGCTGCTGACAATTGACACTAATTCTTGCTTGGACTCCTTTGTTCCAGGCGCGCGCGAAAAAAGCCCCGCTTTTTGTACATAAAATTACA